AAACGGGCCAGCTCCCGGGCTGCCACCGGCTGGCGTTCAGGCCCGGGCTGGCCCTGGGACCCCAAGGCGGAGCTAGCGGAGCGGGATGGAGCCCTGGAGCCTCCAAAGACTCCTCTTATGAGAGGTTGAACCCCTCACGGTTTCAGCCTTGTGCCCGCCTGATACGCTATGAAGTTCTGGTGCAGCTGCCGTTTGCGATATGGCACACACTGCTTTTCTGCCACATTTGAGCCATCTCCATTTAGTTTTGTGGATTTTAAAGGTTGGATTGGATTTGTGTGCTTAATAGAAGTCACAAAGCATTTACACACAAGGCCTTTTAGCTATCATCTTGGCAAAGCTAAGTGTCAGGATCCTGTTTTGCTCAATTATTATTAGTATTTTGATGCTCAGGTTGGTGAGAGGTGCTTGGTTGAAGTTGAAGAATTCTGGCTTCAGTACTTATACTCAGCAAGTGCAAAAGAGCTGCCACAACATGTTTGAGTATTGACTTAGCATGAGTGGGTCAGGAGCAAAGCGAATGTTGGGCTAAGGTACTTAACTGAATAACCTTGGAAATGAAAGATGCATCTTGGTGGTCAGGTTAATAGGAGATTTGGAAGAAGTGGGAAATGTCAACCTGCAGCAAGGAAATAGTTAATTGTAATGCTGAGGCATTTGTTTCTGAAGCAGATATTCCTCCTCAATAGCACAACTGGGTGGATGTCATGCCTATGCAGGAAGGGGCCCTTCAAGATGTTGTTCTGTTCTCCTCTCTGTAAGCTATTTTGCTGCTGCTTTGGTGCAGTAATTGAGCATCTGCTCTTACTGCTTTTCAGTTCCTCTGCCTGTTACCTCTCAGAAGACTAGCAGACTCTTATCTGATTTACTGGGAAATTTATCAGCCTTGAATTCACAGTCATGTTCTTTGCGATCTCCATCTGTTCATCAAACCAGACTGGCAGAACAGTCTCTGAAAGCAGAGCAGTTCTCCATTTTCGGTGTGCCGCCTCTTGCAGGAGCACTGGTGGTATCTGGTGCGAGGGAGCTGCCCCGGCAGCGGCGGGGAGCTGCGTGCTGCAGAGCCATGGTGGAGGCTGGGCAGAGGCGCTGCTGTGCCGTGTGGCCCCTACTCGGGTAGGCAGGCAGCTCCCATGTGTTCTCTTGGGTCCGTTTAGACGCGGGGGGCTCTCCGCCTGTTCAACTGCAGTTGCTTTTTCAGGCCTGTGGTTTATGGTCAGGCTTTGCTATCCAGAAAACTATCAGTGGGTGAAGGCGTCTTGGAGGAGTTGGTGTAGGTGCTGCTGCCCAGTCCTGTCCCGCAGGCCATCAGTGGGAACTTCCAGGGAATTGACTTGCTGTTTGGCTAAGGAATGCAGCTCCCTCCTGCTTGGCTCATCTGTGGTCACATCTGCTTCTTCTGTTACCAAGGGAGCTGTTGCACATTAAAACCTGGGGCAAAGCAACAGTGAGTTGCAGCTGAGGTCACCTCTCTGCACCTGGCCATGCTCCTCAGCTGGTCCCCTTTGCAGGCTCTGGAGTTTGTCTGGCAATACGGCAAGCTGGTTCGGTACAGCACAACAACAACAAAAAGGATTTCTTCTCTGCCAGTTTTGCAAAGCAGCGTGTTTTAAGGCGGGCACAGGGAAGAGATCAGGGACTCTTCAGGAGCAGGCATGGGAGCTGTGAGATCAGCAGCTGGGCTAAGCTGAGCTGATTGCCTTCACCGTAGCTTACGGTTTCACCCTCTGGTATAGGGAAGTGTGGCCTCACGGCTTGGATAGTCAAGAGGTTTCTGCCTCAGAAAGAAGAATCTGAGAATTGTTCAACTGATGCTTTAAAAGGGCCTATGTACTGAAACCGTGTTTGAAATAAAAAGTGAAGACAGAGCATTCTTAGGTTTTCCTGGATACAGTGGTTTGAATGATGGTTATTTGTCCTTTTTCCTCACTGCTTGCTCTTTAAGAGGGAGAAAGAAGTGCTGCTCTTTGCATTTTGCTCTGTCTGTCCTTGAATTCTGCAAAATTAGTAGTATCGGATGTCTGACTACGGAGATTGCTGATGGTGTGAGATACCTTGCCACATGCCAGACCAGTGGTGGCTCTGCAAGAAAGAACCTGCTTCACTAGAAAGGAAGAACTTGCTTGAAGAAAAGGTTTCCTAGTAGCCTTAAAAATATTCATGAAAAGCCGATAGCTTCTGTAATGTTTTTAACTGTAAGGGATCTCAAGCCCATGTACCAAACAGCGTGATCCATCCATGCTGTGCTGTAATGTGCTCCTCCACCTCCGTGCACTCAGGTCAGCAGGAGGAGGGTAGTGCCAGGTCCTAGGGCACCACGCGGGAGCTGGGCAGCATGAGCGCTCTGCCCTTGCTAGTCTGTGATATATACACACTATACTGTGGTGTATAACCACTATACTAGTGCTACAGCCAGTTGTAACATAGCCAAGTTCTGCTGGGCATTCCTACTGCTACCAGAAGGCTGTGTCGGCCTTCTGGTGTTGGAGCATTATGTAAATGTAAATATTTAACGCACTTTCCTCAGCTGTTTCTGGGCAGGGTTTCAGCAAAGTGACGTCAGCGTGTTCAAACAAGTTATCAAGAGGCAGATATCAGGAGAAATGTGTTCTGAGTTGTTAGCACGTAGTGAAATAAAAGGGAGAAAGTCACAAAATAGCTGCATTTTTGTAACGGCAAGTAATAGTGGACCATAATTTACAGTTTCATGGGAAGGAAGGATTTTTATGAGGCTTAGGAGGCTTGCTTTTTGCCTATAATTTTGAAGTGCTTCCTTTAAAGTGCTGGACTAGGTACTTTCTGTGCTGTAGCCTGTACAGAGTAAATAAAAGCTGCAAGTTGCAATTCAGTTTGCTGGGTAGTAGGTGGTTTAAATATATTGGTATTAGTACTCTTAGAAATGGAATAAGGAGGAAAAATGGCACTGCCTGCAAAGCAGCTAAAATGTAATACATGGTAATAAAAATTGGAAACAAGAAGGTCCACTCCATGTGTGAATGTTTTATTTTTGTTTCCCTTCTTATTTTAGGATCTTCTCTCCATTTACCAGCACCACAGGATGTGAGGGTTTATTCCTATAACTTTCGTAGCTCGTTGAGATGGTCTCCTGTTAAAGTGGATGGAGGGCCGGTGTTGTATACAGTACATTTTAAAACGTAAGTAAATAGCTCTAAAATAACGAGGTGATTTTGCTTTAATCCCTTAACAGAATTAGCATTAAAAAATCTAAAAATGAGTAAGCATACAAATGGAAAAATGAGTTATTACAGCTGTTTTCATGTATATGTGCAGAAAGCTTCTCAAGATTTGAGAATTCTGTGGTATTTCCACTAAAATAAGAGAGAGGAGAAAAAAAAAAAGACATTTCCTCTTTGCATCATTTTTTTCCTGAATCAATGCAGTGGGTGTTTTTCATGGATTCGGTAGATCTTGTGGCTCGTTCTAAACTATGCTATAAGCATGGTATTTGGGCTTTTATTTTTCCTGGTGCTGATGCGAAGCACCCAAGAGCACCCAGGAATGTAGCTTGGTTTCCTGTGTAGGTCTAGCCTTGCTGAATTCCCCCTAACAATTTTTAGTTTTCCTAGCTGCTGCGCAGTTGCAGATGTTGAGATAGCAGTGGCTGAAACCCACATGCAAGCAGTTGCCTTGTAAGGTCCTGTGTAACAGGAATTGGCTCAGTGGGAGCAACTGAATTTCGGAGCTTCAGTGGTTGCCCTGTTTTGTTGATGTTTGGGGTGTCCTTTTTGCTTTGCAGGGGAGCCTTTAACCAGTGGGATGAGATGAACTGCACCCATATTAGCAGGACTGAATGCCGCTTCCCGCAGCTCCTGAACGAACCGCGCTGGACTGTCACTCTGCGTGTGAGGGCCGAGCTGGGGCCAGCGGTTTCTGACTGGGTGGAGTCAGAGCCCTTTGTGGCAGAGAGAAACAGTAAGTGCTCTCTGTGATTTCAAGGAGTCTCTTGAAGGAGATTTCTCTGAAAAAATGTTAGTTGTCCGTTCAAGGGTATTTTGACTGTTATGCAAAACAGCCAAGGGAGAGAATTGTGGCTGTTGCTTAACAAAGATTGCAAAGTCTCTGTGCATTGTTGCAAGTCTGATGCTACTTGCTTCCTTCAAGGTGGTGTCAGCCAGCAGCTGTGTAGCGCTGTTAGCATCTGTCCCCTCAACAGGAAGAAGAATGTGTTACCACCATGTGCTACATACTGGTAAAATAGGAATTAATTTGATACCTGCGTGAACGAGTGTGCTGCTGTTCTTGATGAAGATCTGCTCTTTGCATGAGCGTGGCTAGTGGGGCAGCTGCGGCCATCCCTTGCACGGGTCAGCTCCCTTGGAGGAGGTGCTTGCCCCTCTGCCAGAGCTCATGGAGGAAACTCGCAGCTCCTAGCGAGTCTGTGCCAGCACCCAAGAAAGTGTTTGCAGCTGTGCAGAGACAGGAAGGAGAGAGAAACCTACGTTTCCGTACAACCTAAAAATCACAGGGCCGTGTTTTTCTCTAACAGAAGAGAGCAGGATCTGCTGATTGTTTGTCTGTTTGTTTGTTTTGTCTTTTACAAGGCAACATGAGCAGTGATTTTGTGCAAGAATTGGCTGGTTTTTATTGTTAATATCCTCCCTCCCCCAGTGTGCAAAGGAGGAGTGTTTGTTTTCCTGCTGGGGAGCCTTACAAATGCTGATAAGCTCGACCTTTGAAAGGAGATGAGACACAAAGGATAAATGACTTGTGATCAGGAGGTGACCTGCAAACACACAAACATCTCCTGTTGCACTAGCAGTGATAATAACTTGCATAATATTTTTCGTGATTTAGACATCAGAGCACTTCACAAAAGGACGTCGTTAGTTTATAGGACTGATGGAGAAATCAAAGTGGGGAAGAGGGGTTAAGGGGAACTAACTACTCCTGTTCCAGTCTAGTTTGACCTAAAAATGTGGTTAGAGAACTTGGAATGATGTGGCGGAATCGGTTATTTGGGGGGGCGGGGGAGGAGAGCAAACTGACATCACCATTAAGTCCAAATAGATATGGATGGATATTTGTTTAATTTCCAGGGAAAGTTGACTGGGAATGGTTCTTTTGGTTTTCTAACTAGATATAATAAAGTTTGTAATAAATTAGAGGAGCGAGTCTCACATACCTCTTCCTTCCTCAAGACAGATCTCTGTATTGAGCAGGTTGCAGAGTGAACCAAGCAAAGCTGAGCCCAGCTGCAGCGGAGCGTGCGGCATCCCCCAGCTTCACTGCTCTCTCTGTGTGTTTTTGCAGCTACTCTCGGACCCCCTCGAGTGAGCAGCGTGCCTGAGGCTCAGTCCTCTGACTCGCTTCTCATTAGCATCACACCCCCTATTGCATCGAGGCGAGGGGACTCTCTGCTGTATCATGTGTCCTACTGGGAGAACTCAACAAGTGCTATGAAAAAAGTAAGAATTCTAAGAATGGATTTTCTTTGCAATGCCTCTGGGAGTTGTGGGTCAGTGGCTTTCGGGAAAAGAGCAGAAACGGAGGAAGCAAGGGTAATGTCTGTTGGGTTGTTTCTAACAGCAAAGGTCAGCAGTTGGTGGCTTGAACAGAAGTTAATCTGGTCCTGGCTCAAGTGTTGCATGTCTTACTAAACTTTAAAAAAGCATTTTTTTTTTCCTCCATATAAAAGCTTTGGTCAGAGTCCCCAAAGTGCAAAGCTGCTTTTAAAGTGGCATTTTGCTGTCGAAGCTTGAGCAATTTGGAAGATATTGAAATACCCTCCCTCCTTTCCTGTGCAGGGCTGGTTAGTGCCAGCAGCTTCAGGAGGTGCCTGACAGGGCCTGATGCTGCTGGTGCCCTGGGGCTGAGGAAGGCAGGAGCTCTTGGAAACACATTGGCCACTGCTGGGATGAGCAGCTGCCCCTGATCAAACTGGAACTTTGCCCTGGTGGCAAATGCTGGCCTTGGGAATGGGCAAATGTGCTCCTGGCAGACTGGCCTTGTAGGAGAGAAAGGAAGAGAATTACGTGAGTTACATTAAAAAAAAAAAAAAGGCATTCTAAAATTAAAAAAAACAGAAGCAGAAAAAAAGATTCATTTTTAAAAGAATTTTACTTTTAAAACCTTCTGTCCCAAAGGACCTTGCTAAATCTGAAAAGCCCCAACTTCCTTCCTCTCCTGCCAAAAAGGCGTGTTTTTCTGACATGTAAAAAACACCCTCATGTTTGATGTTCAGACAAGAAGCTGCTCTGGCTTGTTAATTGGGGCTTGGTAGCTCTGAGACTTTTTACCTCTAAGGTCAAAAGTCACCAAAAAAAGGTTGTGGGGGCCATGTTTAGAAGGTGGAGGTTTTGTTTGGTCGCTCAGCTCTTTTCCTGCTTAGGAGGAGGAGATGAGACCTCACTGAACTAGTGATCACTGAGCTAGTGTCAGCAGCCTGCGGTGGTGGGGCGCCTCTCGTGACTTGTTTTTTCCCTCTCCCTTCCTGTGATGCTTGCACTGCCTGAGGTGCTACATTAGCAGTGCACAAAGCGTCCAGTGGGACACTGTGGATCAAACAAGACCTTGTAGCAGTTCTCATGCCTTTGGTTTTTGTGTCCTTGTGGGTGGTTTCAAATGTTCAGGCTTCATTTTAAAACCAGGAAATTTCAAATGCATTAAAATGGGAAAGTTGAAATGCACTGTTGACTAGGAAACTTAGGTATTGGAAGGGGAATTGTTTTGGACGCAGCTCTGTGTGTTTTTTTGTTTTGTTTTTTTAATAAATACCTTTTCTTTTGCCTTTTGAACAGGAGATGAGCACGAGCAATACGCTATTCAAAATTACAGATCTCAAGGAGTCGACACTATATTGTTTCACAGTGCAAGTAGAATTCATGACACTGTCAGATTTCAAGATACTTGGCCTGCCAAGTGCCCCACAGTGTTACAGTACTACCATCAGTGGTATGAACCTGATTTTGTTACTATTTGTTACTGTTTTTTTATATCTAATGCAATGGGTGGGGGGCATGAGTCTTCGATGGCACAGCTACTGAGTTATGCCATACTAGGAGGGCAATGAGGGCACCGCTGACAGGAGTTCTAATAGCAAAAGAATGAGGAGTCCTCAGTTGGCAATGGAGGGTCCGTGTTTTACTGTTGCTCACCTTTTCCTTTATAAATCCTTTAGGTTAGTCCAAGAGCTTTTTACAGATATTACTTCCTAAAAAACAAAAAACGCCAAATACTTGGTCGTTAGATGAAAACAGTGAAGGAGGCAGAGTTACTCTTGCAAAATCTTGAGTCCCTCTGTCACTGCTTCCTCTGAGAGGCGCGTCCCTCTCCTTAGCCTGCTTCCCCTTCTCAGAGGTTTCTGAGCTTCGTGTGGTTGTAGGGGTTATGAGATGGGCTGTGGGAAGGAGGAGGCAGCTCCAGAATACGTGTTTGTCCTGTGCTTGAACCCCTCTGGCCAGGGGCACAGATGAGACCTCAGCAATTCTGCTTTGATTAGCGTGGGAAGCAAATTTCAGCTGCTGACACGTTGCTTGACGTGATGTTGTGCAAGTATGACCCTGCTACATTCTCTTTTTCCCCCCTTTTTCTTTTTTTCCAGAGGCAACCACAACTACATATGTTATGCTAATATTTCTATTAATCTTGCTTATCCTAATTTCTGCAATAGTCGGCTTGTTTTTTATATGGAGATACCACAACACAATAAAATATTGGTCTCGGCCACCTTTCAAAATCCCATCGCACTTTGAAGAGGTATGTGTAGACTTTCTGTTTTCCCCCATTCCTTCCCCCTGCACAAGGCAGTGGTGAGCTTGAAATGAATGTAACTGAAACTGGTTGTCACTAGAGGCCTTTACTCAGCCATTCATTTAGATATAACCAATTGCTGATTTACTGTGAACTATTACTTTTACATTACATGATATTTCTCTTATTTCTCTTAACTGTTTTTTTTCTTTCCCTGTAGTTTTATGTAACTCTCAAATACAAAAATCGTCCTGAGACTTCTCAAATAAAACACAAGCAACTACTAACTTAAAAAAAAAAAAAAAAAAAAAAAAAAAAGGAAAATATGCTGAACAACAACTTTTAAATAGAAAACTCCTTAAAGGCCACTTCCTGTTTAAATGCTAAAAAGAGGAAGATGAAGAAGACTGAAACATTGCTTAGTGCAGAAATGTGTGAGCTGCAAGGAGAAAAAAAAAACAAGTCCCAGGGTGATTTTTGTATTTGAGAGTTTATTTCTTGGCTGCATATGTCTCTAATCCTTCGCATTAGGCTGTATTTTTATAAAAATATGAGTGAATGACACCAGACTTACTTTTCCCTCTTTGTGCCTACCCCAGTTTCCACTTTATCAGGACACAGTGCCAAAACACAGCTGATTGATAGAACAAAAAAAAGTTCTTTTACAGCATGGTAAAATGGTGCGCGTTTCATGCAAAGACTGCCAGAATTAATCCATCTCCCCTCCTATTTGTTTTCCATTAGAGTCCAATCTAGAGTTTCCAATCATGGGTTCTGGAGTAATTGATTTAATGTGGAAAAAAACAGCAAAAGTAGGTTCTCTTGAGCAGTGGTGAGCCTGTTTTCAGGGGAATATACTGCCAAGAAAAGGCGTGACATCAGTAAATACGTGTAATTTTCTAAATACCTATTTTTAGATGGTATCAATGGGCCTGGGCCTTCTCCTCATAAAGGAATTTCCATTATACAAAATAGCTCTAATTCCAGGACAGTTTCATAGATTCTGTTCCAGGCTTTCAGCTAATCACGTGGTTCCTTCTTTTAGAGAAGCGTCTAAGCTGTGAGCATCAGAGTTACAGGAAACATTTTTAGCACGGACGCTCCTTCCCCTAAGGCCAAATCACAGTTCCCTTAGGTCTGGAATTCACTAAAATGTCTGTATTTGATGCTCCTGTATGAATCTCATTTTTTAATTCCCACGATAAAGACATTATGTTGCTCATCACCCCTGCTATGCATAGAGATCCAGCGACGCTCTCCTGGGAAGCAGGGCTAATATGGTTGTATGCCACACGTTACTCTGGAGCTGCAGCCCTGTCTCGGGCAGATTACGGTACCTCTTGACAGCAGGGAAAACAGCTTTTGGGTAAAATTCATTGTGGCGTAGCTTGTAATAATGTGAAAGTATCTGTATTCTGGGCTTTTTTTTAATCAGAGGAAAAAATATTAATACTAACGCTTTTTTTGTTTTGTTCAGCACGTGAGGGAGTGAATGGCTTTGAGTGGCTTTAATTTGCCTTGAAACAGACTATCATTTTAGTAATAAGGAGATTGTATGGGATGGAAGGTGGAACAGCAAACATTTTTTCTGACCAAAAAAAAAAAAAATCCTCTCCCCCCCCCCCCCCTTTTAATTTTGCTTAAAAAAATATATACATGTAATCTAAAGCTGATGAGTTGGGGTATTGTGTGTGTGTGGGGCGGGGGGGACAAAGCATAAAGTAACTTCAAGAACACTGCATGTGGGTTTCCTGGTAACATTTTTTTTTTTTTTTTAAAAAGCCCAACTGCACATAGCCTAGTCTTGTATCCTATTTGTCCCACTAGAGGCTCAGGTGAGTTCCAACCTAGTAACTGCTCCAGCTCCTGTTTGCAGGCTCTGTCCTCAGCAGCGCATTTCACTTGTGTGGGTTGTTCTTAATAGAAGGCATTTGGTTAAACTGTTATGAATGTTTTCCAAAGAGAAATGAAAAAATTAGGTAGCTTTAACTCACCCTCACTTAGAGGGATGTTTGTTGGTGCATTCTCCCTCCCCAGCAACAGGAAGGTAGCTTTGCAGGTATTCTTAACGTCCTCATTTTTCCTGGGTCGGTGTAGCTCCCAGGAGACTGAGAATGGCACAAACATTAGCAGCCCTCTCCATGAATCTAGGCCGGAGGCAGCTTGCCTAGAGATGCTGGTCTCTGTGATTTCTAAAGCACCGGTTCCCTGCGCAGCCCCTAAGCTGCTGTTTCTGTCTTCTTCCAGTATCTGCAAGATCCCAGCGTGGCCCTTCCTGAGGCACTGGAGAGCCACGTGGAGGATGATCCCTGCGACTTCCTTCCTGTGGCATGCAGCGGAGAAGGAAGCCAGGAAGGCGATGCCAGCATGGAGGATAAAGCTCCTTCCCCTGGCAGCTCCAGGGAAAGTGAATGAACTTAAGGAGTACCCCAGTGAGATCCCCCTTCCCAGACTTGTGGAGCCTCCTGCCCTGAGTGCTGCTCAGCGGCTCCCACTGGCACAACGGGACAAAATGGTGCCCAAGCCCAGCCAAGACCTGCCTTCCCGCGATCCAGGCAGCAGCTCGGCCTTCATCTCCGAGGCTTCTGCTGCAGCACGGAAGCACCCGCATCCGCCATTACAAGGTGGAATGTGACGGTGACGTGAACACTAACTAGTTGTGAGAGAGACAGATTGGACGGAAACAGTCACATCGACGTTCAGCGTCATAAAGCTTTCTCTCTAGTTGTAACAAAGCTTTGAAAAATACGGCACTTTATGGTAAGATGTGGTAGAACCTGTTTTGTTTTTTTATTTTTTAGTTGGATAACTGCAGCATGGATTACTTTTTACATAGATTTTTTTTCTCTGTTGGTTGCCTTATTTATGAACACTGTTTTAACCCTCCAAGTTAATAGCTATGCTATTCTCCTTTTCTGACTCAGCTTAAGTACTGCTGTGGCTTCTACTTCTTCCCTCCAGATGAAAATGCAGTCTAAAAAGAAGCTGGACTGGACTTTACCCTTCTTGGAGTTACTTCCCGCTAACCACCGGCCACCATATACTGCTCCTGCCTCCATACCTGCCTCAAAGGAAGGCAAAAGTCAAAAGAAGCATTAATCTTTTGCTCCTGGGGGGAAATACTGCTATTCTTCCTGGCAAAAATGAACTCTATTTTAGAGTTTGTTCAGCATTTATATGAAATGTCTGAACAACTCTCAGACACTAAAATCTTTTGTAGTCTTGCAACAAGAAAAGTTTTTTTTGGGGGGATTCCACAAAGCAGAAGCAGCAAGACTGAACTCAGGCTACAACACCAAGGGCTATGGAGTGGAAGGAAAGGTGGAAACCCCTTCCACCACTGGAAACTCACAAATAAAATTGAAGGAAAATAATTTACCCCCTCTTACATAGTAAAGATTGTTTTTATTCCACTCATGATATTTTAAAAAAAATGAAATAAAAGTAATTACATGAAGTTACGTGCAAGGCATTTTGTTCCAAGTTACTTTGAGTCAGCTATTGAGGGACCTGGTTTACAACCATCACTGTTGCTTATCTGAGATAAAGCTCTTCCACCCCTTTGGGGAAGGCACAAGCCAAGACCAGGCAAAGAGTCAGCTGAAGGCTGAGTCATGCTTTACATTCGACAAGAAGTTAAAACCTGTCTGGAAGCTGCGTCATCTCCCCTTGCTCTTAGGTCTGCCCATATTTTTTTCAACCCAGCCTCGGTATGTGTAACAGAGGATGTCAGTACGGGCTTCCATGGACGGCAGCTAGAACATTCCCAGGGAATAATTACAGACACAGTCTACAATTTGCAGAATGAACCGGGCCTACTCAGTAAAAACATAGAAGACTTCTGTTTGAAGTGGGTATATTAAATATTTCTAATAGTTGCACAAAGAGGAAAGTTTAAAAAACAAACACACACCTTCTGGTAACAGTAATTCGAAGTTTATCTCCAAAACTGCCCCCTATAAAAGATCAAAGCACTGTCCCTCTCAACCTTATGGAACTATTTACAGTGTCAAAGCAACCTAGGGACATTCTGAGTAAAACCTGCATGGCTGTTGCACCAGGCCTGTTCGGATCCTCCAAGTTGTGCCTTTTTCCCCGCCCTCCCTCTTAGCTGCTATATAATCAGTAGGCATCACCAAACCAGTTCCCTAAATCCAAAAGAGATGGCCAAGATGTAGGCAGAAGCAAGTAAGTTTCTGACAGAAGATGCAGGCAACTCCAGAAAAGAGCTTCCTTCCTGCTCTAAAGAGAAGGGTTTTAAGAGGCAGCTCCCCCCAGCACCCCGGGAGCCCTTCTGCCATGTTAAACACTTACCTACCTCTGCTGGGGTGCTCGAGGGGCAGCTGTCGCAGACCCCCTCAGCAGGGGTTGCTTTATGTTCTGCTTGTTTCTCACTTGGTTGCAAAGCCAATGTATACACTCACGAGCTCGCTGATGGGAGCCCGACAGGAGAACAAGAATGTATTTAATTATTAGCTGGTGTAAGGCTTGCTTCAAGGTCAGCACGACTTGAGCTATTAAATAGATACTACAGCAAAGTTATCCTGTGACATTTGCACACTGCTTGGAGAACATAAGATTTGAGAACATAAGATAAGTTTATTGCCATTTTCTGGAATTACAACCCGACAGACAACTCCTGCACAACACTGCGGTTGACACCAGTGAATCTATCGTAACCCACTGCAGATGGTGAGAGCAGGATAGAAGTTAGTCTAGCCAGTAGCACAATTTCAGCTGCAGTATTTGCTTCATATTCTGTCCACTGGAAAGATTCCCACAAGGGAGCAATTAGATGACTAACAGCATACAGTAACCATGCACTTACTTAAGTTACAGCCTTACGGGCAATACCACTTCATGGGCTATTTTGATACATGGGAAGTCATAAAAGCTTTAGGAAGCAGGGTAGATTTAAATGCTTCAGGACCACATAAAACTCGGAACGGAAGGAAGTCACCAACAGCAAGGGGTATATACAAGATAAGTCCAAAGCTATAAAATATAAATGGTCTCCCTTCCTGTTTACTTCGGCCAGAAGAAACTGCATTTCAATAATGGCAGCATTTTCATAAAGTGTCCATCAAATTTGGGAAATAAATAAAATTTTAACTGGGGCAAGTGGCAGTCCTAAAACTCAGGAAAGTCAAGATGCTCAGTAAGAGCATTAGTTTTTAGAAGTACTACAGCAATAAATACATTTCCATTATATCCCCACTTGAAATGCTCACCATTTCTATTTAAGAAGTAATAGGTAGCAGATTCACTTACTTAATGAGCAAAAAGCTTTCCTTGAGGACAATCTATTCTGGCCTAACATTAGACATGTTAGTCTGGCTCTCCTTTCTTCCTTACGTCCCTTAAGATTGACTAGCATCAGTTCTAGAGTTTTTTACTTCAGTATTAGTAGATACAGTAAATGCTTATTAGTGTCTATCGCACTGAAAGGCAGGAGCTCCATCCTGCGAGGGCCGTGCTGCTGCCAGGTGTCCTTCGTGCTAGAGCAGGGCAGGAGTCAGGAACAGCTGCATCTGCCCTGCAGAATCTGCCAAACACAGGGCCTTGTTTACAAATAAAAGCTACTTTTAAGTTTTTCTGAGCAGTTAAATTCTTGAAAACAACTTTCAAGAATGCAACAGAACTTACCGTCATTGAGGACGGTTTAGGTGGGCCTCTTCTCTAAGATCTCTGCAGCTTCAGGTATACAAAGTAGCCCTTGCAAAAGGACCTCGAGCAGGCCCATTCCTAAGACTAATAACCACTACTACAGGGAACCTGCTTTATCCTGCTAACTCCTTTGTAGCTCCACTGAAGTGGAACTCCTCTAGAAGGGTTGAATGTGGACGGAACCGCATGTGCTTGAATAAATGAGCCTGAAGATTTCAGAGAGTGAGCCCAACTTTCCCTTTTTAAGATATATACAATCATATGTACATATTCACAAAGCGTTCCTATGAAAAGGGGGAACTTCTTACAGAAACTGTAATTTGTCTTAGTTTGTATGATTGAGAAAGCAAAATGAGAACAAAGAAATGTAAATGTATCTACATACAGAGTACAACATAGCCACTATGGAACAGATAACGCTCTCCTTGATCTCTCATCCCCATAATTCTTCTGTTCTTCCAAACTTGTAGATCAGAGTACTAAAGAAAAAAAAATCAAGTTAATATTTATTCAAGTCAGTATTTTTTGCATTTATATTTCATGCACTATCCATTTTTGAAAGCATGAGACAGAGTTGAAGCAACTGCTCAACTAATAAAAATACCCAGCCTACAATAACGCAGCTGCCCTCCTGAAGAAAAACAAGAGTAACAAATTCTGCTATTTAGGAGATTCTATGACTGATGTTTGGAATTACAAAGATTCCAGAAGATCTGTGGAATGACAGGTCTCATCCTGGAACACAAGAACCAGCTGGACACAGAGCATCATAATAGGATGAGAATGTGAGCAAATAAATTTGCATGAGGACACCAAAAAGAACACACATCCTGTGGTGGATAAGGCAGATACAAATTACAGTTTGATTTCCAAAATGCTTTTCATAAGGTTGGATGCAGTTAAAACACTGTCATGGATCAAATGAAACGTCCAAGGAACAAAACCAAACATGATTTCCTTAACTTATACTTTTTTGGCAGCATCTTTTTTCTTAAACTGACAAATGAAAGGTAAAGGGCAAGACAATGAGTAGGCAGAGAAATGAGAAATATTGACACTATCTACAATAATGAACAATAATAATGAAGTAATGGTAAATAAAACAACACCTGGACAACTCATGAGAGAACTAATAGGGCATGTTACATTAAGTAAAAAAAATGGTGGAATAACAACCAGGACTCATGCTTCAGTCCCGAAGCACTGTTTAGGGAATGCAGGTATCGTGTAGAACACCGATGGAAGACGATCTGCTTCAATTAAAAGAAGGGGGAAAGTGCTAAGGCATTGAGAAAGGAGTTGCTGAGTAACCATGATCTAGCTCAGAGGAAGTGGGTGTACAGCACTGGATGCAAACCACAAGGGTTACTGCTTCAGGTAAATGGTGGGATGAAAACAAACTAAACATGTTTTCTAAAACAAAGTCTTATAGTTCATACCTAGATAACGAGCTTGGCCAAACAAGAACAAAAAGGGCTCCCCCAGGGGAGCCAGTCCACCAGATCACTGCAGAGCATCTGACATGGTACTAGAAGGAAAATTGTTAGCCCAGTGATTTAGGTGGATATGGACCTTGCAAAAGGGGAGGTTATGCCAAATTTTTGATAATGGGATTGATTCTGCTTTCACTGTTTTCACCCAATATTATTTATAGATAATGTATTATAGAATGCACTAAAAGAGTTAGTATAGCTATAGAGAGTTTCAAAGTGTCTTACAAGATGCTGGATGACATTTCATGAAATAATATTGAACTTAAAACCATTTCTGTTATGAAACACACCACCATGGTCATACAAGATAATTTCATCACTCTTCATAATTGAAAGCTCATCCAGTAGAAAAATATCTAAGCATCAAATCAGAAAAAAAAATAATAATTAAAAAAAAATCATGCCATTGTCATGACATAGTCTGGAAAAAAGTCAGTAGGATCTATCACCTACTGCTCCCAGGAGACACAGCATGGTGCTCGTAGTGCAGACATGGAAATATTACTGCCAGTATCCTGAATACTGGCAATACCTCACCCAGAATACTATCTACACCCTTGGTCATTGACGTCCTAGAGCTGCAAATTGAATGGGATCAGAAAGAGCTGCACTAACAGGAAGGAAGAGCAGCATGAGAATTGTGAAGCAATTGAAGAATTGTGGAGCAAGTGAAGAATTGGTTCTAGGCATTGGAGTAAGCAACACAGAAAAAAGGAGTTAAAAAAAAAAAAAGGTAGTTTTAAGGAACTGCCTGGTTTATGAAGTGGAGAGTATCACATCGGCTCTCTGGTGATGGGTTTACAGTTGGACTTGATGATCTTGAAGGTCTTTTCCAGCCATAATGACCCTATGATTCTATGACCCAAGAGGCATCCATTTTATGTGCTGCTCTCCTCACATAGGAAAGCTCAAGGTGGGTAACAGTGAAATCCCAGGGAGTGTTGCACTGAAAGCAGCAAGCTCACGTTGTTTAAGGACAAGTGTGGTGTCAGCCTCTGGCTTTTAACATCTATTTTCGAGGAGTACCTATATGTATGGAAACAAGCAAGTGTAATTCTCACTTGGAAAGAGGGAAACATACCCAGATAACTTACCTGAAAAATATCAATGCATTCTGGAAAAACACTGCTAATCCAGGATAAACATTAGTGTCTGCAAGTTACACGAAAAAGAAATTTTAAGTTCTTTTGTACTACAAAGTATATTTCAAAACACTGCCCACAGTATCACTCTCATGGTTTCACTAACTACACAACTACATGGTGTTACTCTTGACAAGAACAGACCACATTTCCATTTTCTGGGTCTTCTGCCTCACACCTTACAACAGAAACATTTTTCTGGGTGTGAAGCAAACCTCAAAACCAAAACACAATCCATAATACTTTAGAATGACTTAGATTTCAGAGCCTTTTTGAATTTTATTTAAGTATTTGTCATTAAAGTCACACACACACACACGTATATATATAACACAGTTTAACAACTCGGCAGCAATTCCTGAATTACAGATTACAGTCAGTTAGCTACCCATATGTATATGTATTTTTTAACATATATAAAAATCTATTCTACACATCACATCTATCCTCTCTCTCTCTATATATATATGTAAAATGTACATTTACAAATGTATTTTTGTTGCCTAGTGCAGATACACATAAAATCTACACTTGGATTGTTTGAAGGAGCTCATAGTGGTAGTTCCTCACTTCAACCCCCCAAGCATCACGCAGTGAAATCCATACAGCAAAGAGCTGAGAACAGCCCACTAGATTTTCAGATTCAAGTTGCAAAGCGAAAAAAAAGTGGAAGAACTCCTAAACAACGTGCTGTATCACAGGATAGGTATCAAATCGGAGAAGAGCATCAGGTGTGATGATCATTTTAGAACAGCAGCAAAACCCATCTCTTTGCTATAACTAATGAAGAAGGAGACTTACTCTGTGTAACATATGCTCCAAAAAGAATCCACATCGAAGCAATAAGTGAACCAAACATCAGCATAAAGCCAATAAAGAGCCAGACACGAGCACCTGCAGGAAATATTAAAACCACTGAGAACCACACAGAATATTATCCATGACACACGACACATTGCAGTGCAGTGTTACTTCCCTGAAGGTCCAAAGGGAAAGGATTAAAGCCTGCATCAAGGACAAGATAAACCAAATTTGGCCGCCTTTAATACAAAGGGTAGTAGTTTGCTTGCCCATGTTTTAGGGAATAAATAATTTGCAGGTATTTCCACTCATCTGGAGTGAAGATCTGTGGTACAAGCTCTAATTTCCATCATTTAACATAACCTGAAGTGGACTAATAACAGGGGTCTCCATCAAAACAGTATGGTTTCTGAGGGTGGGATAGCAGTTCAGCAAGGAACAGAAGCCCTTCCTGTTTCCTTCAGAAAGGTTTCTTCACAGGGGTGACATCTAACTACCTCTGGATGTTAAATATGTAAAGGAGTTAACTTCACAGAAATTCTCTCCTACTCTTTAGCTTCTGATTATTATTTATTTAACCAGCATTAAAAAAAGAACTTTCAAGTCAGCATGATTTTAAAGTGAGTTAATTTACCTGTCCTTCCTAAACATCCATCACTGTAGCTGTCTCCTCTCACCTGTGCATTTGACACAGCATTTATCCTAGTAACAAAAACAAAAAAGTGCATATGCTTCAAGTCATCGGAAGAATCAATGCAAAATAAACCAGTAGCAGTTTTTAAGATGCAATAAATTCTGAGAAAATACTCAGCAAGTCTTTCCTGTATAGCCACACATTACTACACATCCCTTAATGGAAGGATTCCAAACGGATTTCAAAAAAAACCCCAAACCCTTTCTGAAGTTTCACTTGAATTTTCAGATTAACAGACCTGTAAGCTGGAAGAGCTTAATTACCCTTTTATAGTGGTTGAAATATTCTCAGTGATTTTTTGGTTATCTGTTAAAACATCTTAGACCACTTCACAGGAGTAATAACAGCCCCTAACATGATGCATTTGATTGGGATACAAGGAACTTTTTGCTGCTTCTCCTTCCCAATGAACCCCACAGATATTCAAGCGAGATACGCTCTGCAAGGAGAGACAATATGTCTTCTTAAAACAAGTTATGTGACTGGGAGGACAAAAAAAAAAAACACCTTTCAGACACCAAATATTAAAGAAGGCCCAGTGTAGCCAAAAGCACCCTTTTTTTAAAAGGTTGCCACACTTACATCTTCAGATTATAAGAAAAAGTACACTATTACTAACTCTACCGTTTGATGAGGTTTTGGACCAGTTAAAAAAAAATGGAGAAATTACTTAAAAATCAGCAACAAATGCAGTCTAATGTTTGTATATTCAGATGAGTCACTGAGCAGCATTACACAGTTTTCGATTCAAAGAACTGGAGTTATTTTTAAAGGCCACTTGCACAAAGGAAGGCCTGGTTTTGTGGATTCAATCAAAGTATTCAGAAAAAGCAATTCACCTTAAATAGACAAAAGAGGACAGGGGAAAAAGGAACAATGAATGAACAATTATTAGAAACAAAGACCACGCATATTAAAAAAATAAGGTTTTTTTAACCAAAAAAATGCCATGCAAGAAGACATTGCAAAATTAGTGACAAACAATTTATAATAAAGTAATTCAAACTTTTATCATATAGCATATCACTTAGTAAAAACTGTTTTTAATTGGATACTTTTTTCCTAAAAAAAAAATACATACGCATATCTCTTTCTATATATAGTCAAAGACACACACACACTTACATGAAAAAAGCTAGTGTTGAAAACACACCACAGGTATGGAATGCATGGTTCATCTGTTCTGGCTTTGGGTAAACTACTGCAGCATCTATCATTATCCACCAACCTGTGAAAAACTAGAAATAAAATTAAACCAACATTATGAGCCTGAAAGGGCACACACACGCACAAAACCTGCCTAGTGTTCATGCGTCCACTGGTTTAACAAGCATAAACTATTTTAGGCAGCTATTAGCTTCAGATCAGGTTTAAAATCTTTTTGGTGCATAAGTTAGTGTCATTAGACCTTAATGTTGGTGTTTCAAAGTAGTATTTGGGAATGTAGCAAATTTTCTGTTAAAATTAAATATCAGAAAATAGCTATATTTCTTGTACTAATTCAAGAACAAGAATACAGATTCTAAACATATACAAGATATAGATAACATAAAATATGAATGCTATAACATATCTAATCAAACCAAAAATCCATTAGGTTTTCCATTAAAAAAAAAAATAAGAAAAGACAGCATAACTGGAATATCATTACTGAGCAACATGCAGATTCCTATGACTTACAAAGAACTTGGCTAATAAATACACTCCAAAAAAAATCTTCAAGAAATGCCCGGGATTTCGGGTTAATTAAAAGAGAAACATCACAACATTTTAAATGCTGAACTGTCTGTCCTATGTCATCCTTCCCAATTTGTCAGCACAGTTATAATCCACCTCCTCTCCAGACTCACCAATACACCTGCGACTATCGAAGCAACCGCATTTCTTCTTTCACTCCAGTCAATACACTCACATTCTGGCCATCGGAAGTTGTCCAAGAATCCTGCCATTTCCTTAAAGATTAGAGTGCCTTCCTTATTCTGTGCTCATATATGAAATGTTCCATTAACAGCCACGTCCTAAATACCTGAAACACAACTAAAAGATAGTTAATGCAGAAAAAGTAAAAATTTGATATGTTTGACGAACTGTCACAAGCAATCTTTACCGTGTGGGTTTACAGAATTAAGTAGGTCACTATAAATTCTATATTAAACTATATTTAGTTTTGTATTAAAAAAGAAAAAAGCTTGCCAAGAGAATTGCAAAATAAAGTGATCACATAACCCCAAAATCTTAAAATCTACATATAAAGCAACATAATGAAACCAAAGAGAAATTACAAAAAGCATGCTGTTCAAACATTTAGAAACCCAAAGTGAAAAGCAAACAAAAACATACAAGCAAAAAAACCAAGCATTTTAATCTACATCTCACCCTCAAACCATAGCCCTTTCTCTAGCATTAGTCATTAAGGAACACATGTACAGTGGGACTTCATACACACAGGAGAACTTGTGTCTTGAGTCAGGCCAAGTAATCTTGAATAAGATCCCTTTGTTTTCAGTCAACAAGACAGACAGACAATATCATGCTCCTCTAACACAGGGAAAAAGGCATCAACTCAATGAATCAAGTAATAATAAGGGTAGAAAATGCCTTGTTTCACAGTCAGAAGATTGGTCATACAGAACTTGAAATACAGGAAGACAAGAGCAAATTTAAATATGAAAGCTATACAGTGACTGTGTGGACAGTTCTCAAACACTTTGGTGAGCAACCAGTAGCTATAACAACTATGTTATAGCTATACTTCATCTGTGCTATACTTCATCTATTTTCAGGCTGTAACATAGCTTGCTTACACAGGCTATGTGTCAGAAACTAAACTATTTACATTTTTTTTGTTAGCAGTGACTTGTGACCAGCCTTCCTGACAATCAATTTTGGTTCTGTACTGTTAATTTTCTGTAATTTACGGGTACTGTTAAGCGCTAATCATTACATTACAGGAAAGACTGCTGTAAAACATCTAGTTAACGGCAGTATTTAGAAGTCCATATTAAGTCAAAAGACAGAACAAAGACAGACAGTGTTCATTTACATTACGAATAAGATTTAAAAATTGTTCTCTTGAGTATAATACTAAAAATCCACCCGTAGTTACAAATCCTATCTTAAAGCACTAAAAGCAATGGACTAAAAACTATTATACTTCTTGAAAATATGTGGGTTCAACAATATCGTTAATCTCATATTTATACTTGTTTGTATTTACCAAGCCATTTTCACAGTTTCCTATTATTTCTAGAATTTTTCACACCGAGTTGCAGTACTTCCTTATTGTAGGTCTTATGACTGAGTGCTCCTGCAGCACTTCCTTATTTCCCACTCTTAAAGCAACTCCACATGCAATTTATTTGTTGCCCTTGAAGTGCAGGAGGCACCTCAGCCCGCAGTAACCCCCTCTTGCCCTCCCTGCTTCCCTGATCCACACAGCTTGAAGTCCCCCCTGCCATCTTCTCCATAGACTATGGACCTGTTTCTGCAGCTACCAGGCAAGAGGGGTAAATGCACCAACAGGGGATACCAGTTTTCCCAGCCAGTGCAACAAGAGGTTGTGTCAAATCTAGTTATTTCCTTGCAGGTGAATACACCTTCAGGCATCCTCAGAATAAGCCACCAACATTACAGTTTCCTCTGGATTTTTCCCCCCCCCACAATGAATTATTATAAGAGTATTAACACACCTAGATAACAATTCTTCTTTCAAGCATAATATAAAATACATTGCAACTCAGAAAGCAGATCAAGATAAGACGCTGGATAAAATGTTTCCAAAGAACAGAATTTTTTCATCCTCTCCTTTAGGAATTGCCTGTCCAATTCATAGATGACTTCATGAATGAAATCTTTTCATCCCTATAAAAACATTCCAGTTCAAAAGGCCAACATGAAATGCAAAAATCCTCTGCCTCCTATGATTTAAAGGGGCTATAAAAGTTCATGGAGCCAACTAATGCAATTAAGTCAATGTCCAAACCGAAAGCTGACTTATCCTTGACTTATCCTGACCCTTCCTACTCTGTAAAAGTCCATAGCAATATGCATTAGAAATAGATGTAGATCATGCATTGCACAGAAGTTGTCTTAACTCTTAAACATTTTTTAAACCTTAAGTGACAAATCAGAGGTGTTTTACTCACTTTAGAAACCTGACACACCACCTCTAGCCACCCTTCAGTTAACTTAGGTAAGATACACAGCTTTCGCAACTGCATTAGTGACAAATAAGCAAAGATGGAAAAACTGAAACAAAGTCAATGACCGTTTTATATTCAAGATACAAGACAACGCTCTAGAAATGCACATTCTTTTCTTAATCAGAAAGCCTGTTTTTGGTGTCTGACACTAGCTCTCAAACTCACGTTTTGCTTTAACTTCATCTTCAAGCTCTGAAGAGAAGCTCCCCATATGAAGAGATCAGATAACCACTATCTACTGGCAGCTATCAACAACCATGATGTGCAAACAACAACGCAGATTTCCTGTTTTACTGGAAGAGGATGCCAAATCTGGAGAAACACGGCATGGAGAAGCTGCAAGACAAGCCAGATGAGGAGCCCAGCAGCATTACCTCTGCACAAATCTAAGGCCGATGCTCAGCTTTGATTTCCCAAGGGGAGATTAACCCTGCCTGCCTTCTCCAGCACTTGGATCAGCAGTAACACCAGCGGAGGAGCTAATTGCACAGCGTTTTTTCTAACGCGATCTAAGTATTTACTGATGCCATCCTCAATCCTCCAAAACAGCCTTTCATAGGAGAGTTTCAACAGAGTCCTGTCTACATAAAAAAGAATCTCTCACTACTTATATAGTGCCATATAGGTATATACTTCATATGTGTGCAAGTAAACATGGCAATCGCCCATCTCTCTGCATCATGTTGTTGAACATACCCGTGCTCTGCCCCATCTCTCTGCATCATGTTGTTGAACGTACCCATGCTCTGTGAGCAACATAACAAGAATTGCTCTCTGTGACAGGACAACACCACCACTGACCATACTTAGGTTTTACCCCAAATACATCCCGCTGTATAGGCAGAAAACTCTAGTAGATCAGATTTATGGGTGCTTGCATTTGCACCTTCTTACTTAAATAAAGGTCAAAGTCTCCTTGCTTCAACTTTTACTGGAATGCACATACTGAAGAGCAAGGAAGAAGGTGGAAAAGCCTCGCAGTAGTTCTCCTTCAGTGTCCTCCCTACACCATGTCTCCTCTCCTGCTCCAAGAGCAAACAAAACCTCCTGCAGGCTCCAAGAAACATTTTGCACTCACATCCAGTAAAGGGAGACATAAGAGTGCTGGCACGAACAACCTTGTGACTTAGCAAATAGAAAAGAGTCATACTCAGCACACAATAGCACCTCACGTTAAAACAACTACCAGATTATTCAGACGTCTGGAGTTAAATGCAAACATACGGCGCAAGAGCAGGAGCTCTAAATCTTTACCTAAAAATCAGCTTCCCAACTCCAAATGAAGTGATTCCACTTAAACAAATCATTAAAGCAGTCATGAGAAGATGTACGGAGTATGCACAAAGTAAACCATCCTATGGGGCCTTGAGATACTGCTGGGTTAACAACAAACTGGTCCTCCTATTTCCAGAGGTGGTGGGAAAAGACAGGAAGCAGAGAAGAAATCATGAAGGAAACCACATACAACCCATTTTAGAATCTTTTACCTTTCCCATGTGCGTGTACCATGAAAAGATATTTAGCAAAGTAACTGTAAAGACCTGTACATGAGCAACAACACTTCTCATCAAGTCCTTCCTACTCTTTTTAATGGAAGTTGGACCACTCACCCATTTTGGACATTTTATACAGTTTCACTTTCACTTTCCCCTTACTGTACAGCACAGTGCTGTACAGCCAGAGCAAGGGAAGAAGGGGAACTTTTAAGCTACCACCTTATTAAGGCCACCAAATTAAGGCTGCGTAGGAAAATTATTAAACAAGCAAGCTCTCTCCACAGACCCAAGAGCGATGCTCAGCCCTAGAAGTAACATCATTGCTCTTCACAGCAAGCCATCTTCAAGAGAGCTATCAGAGTCTGAGAACTTTGGCATGGCAAACAAGATCAATTCCACAATTTTCTGCAGGCTGCTAAGAGCACATAATGCACACCAGGAGTTCTTGAACGGCCTTAAGCCGTGACAGGGCAATATGAGGCAGAAACACAAAAAGGGGTGAGGAAAAAAGAAAAAAGCAATTTAGGATGTTCAAAGTTTCTGCTCCCTTTCGCGGGCGCAGAGCAGAACGAGGAAGCGATACGCTCAGCCCTACGCAGAGCGGCTCCGGGCCCGGGCCCTGCTGCCCCCCACTCCGCACTGGCCACGCCGGGCCCGCGACTCGCACCGGCGAAGGCCGCGCTACGGCAGAAGGGGAAGGCC